TATAAGTAAACCTATTGATTTTAGCAAAAAAAATTGAAACTAAAAATAAAATAAAATATCTTAATAAACTGTCAGTTAAATGCTAGACTAAAAAGTGCTCTAATATGCTCCATCTCACATATAGGAGTTGTAACCACTCACTCTTTCTATTATGTCTTTTAAAGATATTTTTGATTTGATTGTAATTTATTTTTTATATTTTTATGCTGCAGAACTCTATCTATCGATTAAATACTCTATTGATCAATTACTGCCTTAGCCTTAAATTTAAAAAAGCACAATTCTTATTTTTAAAATTAATCGACTCAGTCATATTTTTTTATAATATCAAAATAGAATATTTGATTTAATTTTAGCTTTTTTTTTTTTTAAAAAAAAAAAAAACCCCCCAATTTAGATAACTATCATACATACGTATATACATATATTGTTATAAAATACTGAATACTTAACCAATCATACATAGACTAAATTTTATCAGGTTGTTCTCAAATATAGATTAACTATCATCTCTATGACTAGAGCTTCGATTCTTAATCTGACTATCTAGATTGATCTTTAAATCCAGATAGATTCAGATATTTAGATCAAAGATTTTTACTCAGATTGGTCAAAGAACTTAATTAATAAACCTAAGGATATGCTACAAAGCTAGCTTTATATATAATCTAACTCAGATTCAATCCAGATTTAATAGAATCCGGATTGCTTGTCAAAAATAGGATTGAAGCTCTACCTATTACTATTTAGAAATTTAATAAATTATTTTTTAATTGTGAACGTCAAGCGTAATGTGCATGTGATACATCATAATGATAAAATCATATAGTTAATCAGTAAATTTATTATTTTATATAAAAGAAATTTAGCACTAATTTTAACGTTACTACTCTTTTTCAAAGTTTCTTTCTTTATCTTATTTTTATATCAAAGTGTTATACTTTTTTTTCTAATTTGAACTTAGATTTTACCAAATTTTATATATTTAATCCTTACTTTCTATTTTGGATTTATATTTGGTGAATTATGAATTCGTAGTTCACTAAATTTAATATTTCTTTCTTATTATTTTTTTTAGCTCTTATATTTCTCTCTTTACTTTATATTTTCTGCTTCTATATTTTATTAATTTGCTAAATATTAAAAATATTAAATATTTTCATATATTATAATAGCAAAAACTGGTTCCAGTACTGTTATATCAAATATAGTGATACCAGTAAATTGCGAATTAGTTATTCTACAAACTAGAACATAATATACCTATGACTGGTTTAGATGAAAGAGGCTATTATATTTGGGCAAAGGTGAATATAGCTATAGGTCTGTCTTCTTTATTTGTATTAAGAAACTTGGGCTTCAAATCAGACAAAACAATTACTATAACTATCCTTGGTATGTTGGAAAAACTGAAAAAAACAATTACTACAACTATTCTCAGTACATTAAAAGAACTAGACAAACAATTACTACAACTATTCTTGATATATTAGAAAAATCAAACAAAACAATTACTACAACTATTCTCAGTAGGTTGAAAGAACCGGACAAAACAATTACTACAACTATCTTCAATATGTTGAAAGAACTAGACAAAACAATTACTACAACTATTCTCAGTATGTTAGAAGAATTGGAAAACAACAACTACAGTAGTCCTCAGTATGTTAAGAATTAGCCAAACAGAGTAATAGTACACTTTATCATTATTACATGAACAAGAGAACAAGAATAATAATTTATATTATTTATGTTCTTAAGCAGTAAATTAGGATGTAAGTATTTAATTATAGTGTAAGAAAAGTATGTAATTAATATTTAAATTACGAAGGATTTCTTCCTCAAGAGTGAAAAGCTTTTATTAAATATTTTCTTTTACTTTGTATATATTATATAGCTAATATCGTGATAAATATAGAAAATCTATTTTAGATAAAAGATCTTTATATCAACTATCTATTCAAATACTATCGCTATTAAAATTTTAATACTATATATATATACCAAATAATTAGTTTTAAAGCTCTAGATGATGTATTATTAGAAAATACTTAAATTGGAACTTGTTTTTTTTTTTTTTTTTTTTTTAAGGTGAGGTTTTGCCTTTATCATTATTTAATAATTTGTATTGAGAATCCACTAGAGGTTTCTCTGGTCTATAAGACCAATAATTACAAATATTTTACAA